CGAAGGGGTTTGAGGGAGGGGGGTTTGGGGTTTTAAGGGAGGGAGGGGGAGAGAAGGCCTGTGGATTGCTGGGTTTGGGAGGGAGGGGAGGGAGGGGAGGAGGGGGTAGGACGACGCTGGAGGGTTGTGTGTGTGTGTGTGTTGTTTACATGTGGGTACCAGCGCCCCCTGGCCGTCGGTGGGGAGGCCAAGGTCGGGGGCTCATGACTCCTGACGGGGACGCTGGCTCTGCGGTGCGATGTCCACGCGAATTTCGGCGGTCTTGCGAATGGCGGCCGAGTCGTCGGGGCGAGAACGACCGCACGGGAAGGTTGGAATTTGGACGCTGAAGGAAGCTGCGTCTGCCTGTGATCTCGAGGGCTCGGTGGTGACGCTGCTCGGGTCTCCCTTGGCCAGGCGCTGTGTCATAGCCCATTCCAGCCAAGGTGTCACCGTGCCATCTGTCATACTCGGGCGCGTCGCGGTTAAGTGGAATACGAGAGGGCGGAGGAGCCGTAACGCGGGCGGGGGTGATTCAGCCGCCTTCGTTGTAGATAGTGCTGTAGTCTGTCGGTCAAGACACGCGATTCTCAGCCTTCGAGGAGGACAGCTCGAGGCTCAGAAAGACATTCGGAAGGACGTTCGTGTTTCTGCGATTCATTTATAGAAGGTGATTTGGTGATTTACCCGACCATTAGCTCGGAGTTCTGGGGTCAGCCTTGTCGACACCTGCCCTTTGCGAGAGTCACTCTGACGCAATATCCGCCGCTGGAATGACAATGTCGACGCGCCCTGACCCTGCAGAGGGACTTGGCTTGGAGGACGACTTGGCTTGGAGGGACGACTTGGCTTGGCTGGAGGACGACTTGGCTTGGAGGACGACTTGGCTTGGAGGACGACTTGGCTTGGGGAGATTGGCTTGGAGGAAAAGACTTGGTCCTCGTTCAACGTCGCGTTTGGGGATGCTGTCTTCTGGGTATGGCCTTCTGCGTCTCCTTGGCCTCGAGTCTTCTCTGTCTGTCTGTTTGTCTTCCTCTCTCACCCTTCGTCTTCCTGTTTCGTATTATTCTCTTTTTTCATTCACCTAACTCCTTACTTCCCACTCTTTTGACTCCTCTCCTTTTCTTGCCTCATTCCTTCCCCTCTCCGCTCTCTTCCTTCTTACTTCCCTTCCCCTCCCGTTCTTCTTTTTTGCTCTAACCTCTCCCTTCCCTCTCCTTCTCTTCTTGCCTCACTCTCTTCCGTCTTTAACTCTCCCTCCCCTCGCTCTTTTCTCCCCTCACCTCCTCTCCTTCTTGACCTCCCTCCTCCCCTCTTCCTCTCTCCCTCCTTTCCTTTTGCTCTCCACCTCCCTCCCTTCCTTCTCTGTTGCACTCCTCTTCTTCTCTTCTCCTCCCTCCCGTTCTCTCTCTCTCTGGCTCACTCTCCCCTCCCTCTCCCTCTTTGCCTCCTCCTCCCCCTCTCCTCTTTGGCTCCTCCCTCCCCTCTCCTCTTTTGCCTCCCTCCCTCCCGACCTCTCAGGAGCCACCATCTTCAGCGACTTGTGCCCATCAACAGGATGTGTGTCGTCAGAGAGGCGGTTCGAGGCTGCTATGGGCCCAATTGGGATTGCAGGATTTCGGGTAGGATGGCCGAGGGATGCGTCAGGATGCTTCGGGATGCTGCTGCGTCGTCTCCTTCTTTTCCTCCTTCTCTTCTTCTTTCTTCTTCTTTCTCCTCCTCTTTCTTCTTCTCTTCTTCTCCTCCTCTCCTCCTCCTCCTCCTCCTCCTCCTCCTCTCTCCTACTCCTCCTTCAGAGGCAGCATCTTAGCCTTACGGCGGTGCTGCGTCGCGGAGAGGAGCTTGCTGTGACTCTCTTTTTTTTTGGTGTTGTTTGGTGGTTTTATGAGGCATCGGGATCATAAGGACGATGGTTTTGTTTCGTCATGAGGTGTTTTGTCATTGGGTCGTTGGTGATGTCCTTCTCCGTTGGTTGGATGCCTGGTCGTTGGTGATTCCTGGTGTTAGTGTTATGACTGGCTGTTGGTGATGCTCGGCTCGTTTGGTGATGTCTGGCTCGTTGTGATGACTGGTATCGCTGGTGTTGTCCCTGGGTCGTTGGTGTTTGTTATGATTGATGTTATTATTGAAGTTGATGCTGTCGTCAAAGGTGTGAACACTAGAGGTTAATTTTGTCATCTGGTGCGAAGTCGTTTCTCCTAGGGGGGGGGGAGGAGTTTGGAGTAAGAGTGGGGAGAAAAGGAGAGGAGAGAGGGGGGAAGGGAGAGGGAGGGGGCGTGGGAGAGGAGGGGGATTTGTGGGAGGGGGATTTTTTTTTAGAATCGGGAGAAAAGAAGAGCGGAGAGAGGAGAGAGAGGGAGTAGAGAGAGAGAGTAGGTCGAAGAGACGAGAGAGAGAGAGGAGAGAGAGTATGGAGAGAGAGAGAGAGAAACAGGTGAGGTGAGAGACAGGGGATGGAGGCGAAGTGCGGACTCAATTGCAGGATAATGGATGCATTAATTGATTGGAATTTGTTCAGGGAGCGTGTTAAAGTGGCACGTGTCGCTCCACGTGTCGGGCGCGAGTGGGCGTAGGTGGAGGGGAGTGGCGTGGAGGGAGTGGGCGTGGTCTACTTGTGATGGAAATGGAATTAGCTTTTCTGCCCAATAGGGTGGGCGTGGTGTGGGTTTCGCTGGACTATTTCTCGCTCGTCGGATGGGCGTGCGGGGCCGGCGTGGGCGGGTGGGGAGGGCGGGTATTTTCTGTTGGCTCTTCTTATCTCCCTTTTCGCTTCGTTTTCTTTTAATTGTTTATCTTATTTTTTTCTTTTCTTTCTTCCCTTCTATTTCTGCGCTTGGTGTGGTTTTTTTTTTTTGTCTTTCATGTTTTTTTTCTTTTCTTCTCTCTCCTCTCTCTCGGTTCTCTCTCTGTACCGTCTTCTCCTCTCTCTCTCTTCTTTCTCTCCTCCTTTTCTCTCTCTCTCTCTCTCTTCTCCTCCCATCTCCTCACTCCTCCGTCCTCCGCCTCTCGTTCTCTCATTCTCTCTCTCTCGCTCTCTCCTCTCTCTTTCTCCCTCTTCTTGTCTCTCTCTCTCTCTCTTCTCCTCTCTCCTCTCTCTCCTCCTCCTCCTCCTCCTCCTCCTCCTCCTCCCTCTCCTCTCTATTCCTTTCACCTCCTCTCCTCGCCTCTCCGTCTTCCCTATTCTTTTGCCCACCTCCTTCTCCCCATCTTCTCTCTCTCTTTTCTCGCCTCCGTTTTCGTCTCGCCTTCCTCACATCATCGCCATCGTCTCTTTTACGCGTCACATGCTGTAGGGAGATATTTTTCCACGTGTAGGACGCAAGGATGCAGACGTGCGGCTTGTCAACTTGCATGCCCCTCCCTCCTTTTCCTTCCCCTTCCTTCCTTCTCTTCTTTCCTTCTTCCTCTTCCTTCTATCTTTCCTTACCCTTCCTCTCCTTCTCTTTCTTTCTTCCTCCTCTCCTCTCTTCTTTCTTCCTTCCTCTCTTTCTCCTTCCTTCCCTTCTCCTCTTCTTCTCCTGTTCTCCTTCTTCTTCTTCCTTCTGTCCTCCTTACTTCTGCTTCTGCTCTCTTCTGCTCTTTCGTCTCTTCTTCGTTCCTCCTTTCTTCTTTTCCCCCTACCCTCTCTCCCTTCCTTCCTTGCCTCTTTCTCTCCTGTTCTTCCCCTCCCTCTCTTCTTCCTTCCTCTTTCTTCTCGTATTCTTCCCTACTTTCCCTTCCTCTTTTGCTTCCTCCCTCTCTCTTCCTTCCTTTGCTTCTTTTCCCTTCCTCCCCTCTGTCTTTCCTCTTCCTTCTCCTTCCGTTTCCTGCTCCTTTCCCCCTCTCCTTCTCGCAACGCTTCCATCATCACCTGATTTGGCGATCGTGTTGCCTAGAGTGGGGAAGAGGGAGAGGGGAAGGGTAGGGGAGGTGGGAAGAGGGGGAGGGAAAGGGAGGTGGGGAGTGGTAGATGAGGGAAGTGAGAGGGAGGAGAGGGAAGGGGCAGGGGGCAAGGGAGGGGGAAGGATAGGGGGTAGGGGGGGGAAGGGACAGGAGGAGAAGGGTGAGGGAGGGACGGAGGAGAGGGTGGGGGTAGGAAGGGAGGGCAGAGGGGGTGGGCTAGAAGGGAGAGAGACGGGAAGTGGAAGAGAGGGGGAGGGGCAGGGAAGGGCAGGGGGAGGAGAGAGGGGAACGGGGCGGAGCAGGGGAGGATGGGGAGGAGGGGGCAGGGGAGGGAGGAAGGGCAGGAAGGGCAGGGGGGAGGGGCGGGGAGGGAGGGGGAGGGCAGGAGGAGAAGGGAGGAGAGGCAGGGGAGGAGTGAGGAGGGCAGGAAGGGCGGGAAGGAGGGGGAGCAGGGGAGGGGAGAGGGAGGGGCAGGGGTCGTTTGGTGAGGCGCGTTTTCTGTGGTTTTCTCGTGCTTTGGAGAACTTGCGTGTGGCGTAGAGGGAGTAACTTGGTGTGGGCGGTTTTCTGTCTCTGGGTAGGTTAAAAGGGTTGGGAAATATATAACATACATGTTAATATGTATATATTATATCTTGTATATGTATATATATATATATTATATATATATATTATATATATTATATATATTATATTTTATATATATTGTATATATATATTATGTATTATATATGTTATGTATATAATATGTATATATATATATATGTATTATATATATATATATATGTATATGTATGTATATATGTGTATATATATATATATATATATATATATATATATATATATATATATATATATATATATATATGCAATGAAACACATATGATATATATATAATATTTCTATATATATATATATATATATATATATATATATATATATATATATATATATGTGTATGTATAAATATAAATATTATATGTATATATATATGTATATATGTATAATTATATATATATATGTGTGTATGTCTATATAGAGGGAGAGGGAGAGTAAGGGGGAGGGAAGGGAGAGGAGGGAGAGAGAGAGATTAGAGAGAGAGTTATAGTTACGCTTATTTATTTATTCCTTTTCTCTAGGTTTTGTCACTGTCTATTTGCCCGCGCACTGTGAACCGCGACGCAACGAATAACGAACACCAAAGAGAAAGAAATAAAAATAAAAAACACTGCGAAATACGAACAAAATCGTGACCGAATCTCCCGCATCTCGGATTAATAACGACAGGAGAAATGACACCGCGTGACGGAAGTGTGTAATAACGAAAGAAAAAAAAGAGAGAAGAGAGAAGAAAGAAAGAAAATATGAAATGAAAATAAAAATGGTACATGGTTCGTCCAGATCGGTGAATGTGGAGGAAATAGAAAAGGAAAAGATATAATATATGAAATCTGAGACTCAGAAAGAGCGGAGCGATGGAATAAGTAAAAGGAAGAAAAAGAAGAAGGAGAAGAAGAGGAGACAGAGAGAGAAATAGATTAAAAAACGTTGAGGGAGAAGAAGAGAGAGAGAGAGAGAAGGACGAGAAAGAAAATAGATAAAAAGTGTGTTGAGGTGGAGAAAATAGAAGAGAAAGAGAAATAGTAAAGAGAAGAGGAGAAAAAAAAAAAAAAAAACAAAAACAGAGAGAATGATTGAAGAAGAATAGAGAGAGAGAATTAAAAAGGAAAAAAAAGAAAAGGACAGAGAGAAGAGAGAAAGAAAAAACAGAGAAATGAGGCAGAAAGTGTCGTCGGGGGGATGCGGGCATCGGTTGCCACGATGTACGAGAAGATGCCTCGGCCCAACAACCTCTTTCTGAGCTGCGTCGGAATCGGGTGGAAAGAGGTAAGATTCCTCGACGCCGGGAATGCTGGCAAGGTATGTCGGGGGTGGTTCCTGGGGGGGTGGCTTGGTGGAGGGGGTGGTTTGGTGGCTTGCCTTGGTGGCTTGGATGGTGGGCTTGTGGCTTTGGTTGCTGGATGGTTGGTGGCTTTGATTGATGGATTGGTGGCTTGATGGCTTGGCTTTGATTTTGGTTGATTGTTGTTTTTGATGGCTTCGTTTTTTATTATTATTATTATTATTATTATTTTTGTATATTCTTTTTCATTTTTTTGTATATTCTTTTTATTTTTTTTTATATTCTTTTTATTTTTTGTTATTCTTTTTGTTTTTTTTTTTTGTATATTTCTCTTTTTTTTGTATAATTCTTTCTTTTTTTGTATATTCTTTTTTTTTCTTTTTCTTCGTTAGATTCTTCGTCTTTTTCTGGTTCTTCAGCTGCTTATTTTACTAATTTTTCTTCTGGCTTTTCTCTTCTTTCTTCTTCTCTTTTCTTCTTTCTTCTTCCTCTGATTCTTCTTTTCTTCTTCCTCCTTTTCTTCTCCTTTCCTCTCCTCTCTTCTTTCTCCTCCTCCCCTTCCTCTCCTCCCCTTCTTCTTTCCTCCTCCCTCCTCCTGCTTTCTTCTTCTGCTTCTCCTCCTTCCTGTTTTATAATTTTTTCGGCTTTTCCTCTCTTCTTTATAAGTGTTCCTGTTACTCTTCATTTTTAGATTCACGCACGCCTCCTCTTTCTATTTTCTATTTAATTATTTTATTTTACTTAATGTTTATATAAATTTAATTACTCTACTCCTCTGAAGTAGATATAATTGTAGAATATTTATATCTGATTTGTCTGCAGTTTTATGCCCCTTTATTCACTCTTTTCTTGTTGTTGTTGTTTTTTATTCCCCTTTATTCACTCTTTCGTTGTTGTTGTTGTTTTTCTTCTTCCCGTTTTCTATGCGTTCCATGCGCCATTTTCCTTGCGTCACGAAACCCGCTAATTTCACCGTGCGGTCAAAATAGATTAGTTTCTGAGTCCATTCTTCTAATCGCTGTTTTTTCTCTCTCTGCTCTTCTTTTATTTTTTTTATTTTTTTTTGTCTTCCTCCTTCCATTATGGTGAAATGGATTCGTGACCGCAGGAGCATCTTCCTTTCCTTGCGGGGCTTGGCGGGGGGTGGGGGGGGGGGCGTGTGTGTGTGTGAATGTGGTAAGTGCTGTGTGTGTGTGTGTGTGTGTGTGTGTGTGTGTGTGTGTGTGTGTGTGTGTGTGTGTGTGTGGTGTGTGTGTGTGTGTGTGTGTGTGTGTGTGTGTGTGTGTGTGGTGTGTGTGTTGTGTGTGTGTGTGTGTGTGTGTGTTTGTGTGTGTGGAAGTGTGTGTGTGTGTGTGTGTGTGTGTGTGTGTGTGTGTGTGTGTGTGTGTGTGTGTGTGTGTGTGTGTGTGTGTTTGTGTGTGTGGTGTGGTGTGTGTGTGTGTATGTGTAAGTGTGTGTGTGTGTGTTTGTGTGTGTAAGTAAAAGTGTGCGTGCGTGTGTGTCTGTAAGAACGTGTATGTGTGCGTGTGTGTTTGCTTATGTTGTGTGTGCGTGCTTCTTTGCTTGTTTATTTTCTCGTTAATTGTTGTTGTTGAGTCCATGAGTGCGACGTAAATATTTATCAGACTAGATTATACATCCGCATGAAGCAGATTTTTTTTAAGCACTAACTACTCACACCTTAATAACATGAAAATTCTGTTTTGAAAGATTCTCATTACATTATGCGCCTCATAGCCTTTCTCAGTTATGCGTATGTGAATAGAGATGCGTGTCCAACGTGTGGTGTGTGTGTGTGTGTGTGTGTGTGTGTGTGTGTGTGTGTGTGTGTGTGTGTGTGTGTGTGTGTGTGTGTTGTGTGTGTGTGTGTTGTGAGTGAGAGTTGAGTGAGTGAGTGAGTGAGTGAGTGAGTGAGTGAGAGAGAGTGAGTGGAGTGAGTGAGTGAGTGAAGTGAGTGAGTGAGTGAGTGAGTGAGTGAGTGAGTGAGTGAGTGAGTGAGTGGTGAGTGAGTGAGTGAGAAAGGAGAGAAGAGAGAGAGAGAGAGAGAGAGAGAGAGAGAGAGAGAGAGAGAGAGAGAGAGAGAGAGAGAGAGAGAGAGAGAGAGAGAGAGAGAGAGAGAGTTTGTGTGTGTGTGTGCGTGCATGTGCGTGTGTTGCTACATCGTAAACCACATGCCAAGTTTGTACAACGTAAGGTACAAAGTCGTTCACAAACAAAACAAAACACACCGGAAGCCTCGCTAGCAGGTCATTCAACATGGCGTAACAAAGGCTTTCCAAACAACAATTATTTGCGTTTTTTCATTGCGAGTTTTTTGTTTTGTTTTGTTTTGTTTAGTTTTTTTTCTCTGAAGTGATGATGTGTATGTTTTTTTTTTATCGGATTTTATCAATGGTTTATATATATATTATATATATTATAATATATATATATATATATATATATATTATATATATATATATATATATATATATATATATATATATATATATATATATATGTATTTAAGTCGATTTGCTAATTTTTTCGTTTTTTTTTTTTTTCTTTGTCTTTTTTTGCTATTTTTGATGTACATTATCATCGTTATCGTCGTCGTCATCATCATTATCGTCATTAGTTTTGATCATCAATCATCACCACACTGGACACCATCAAATCATATCCCACATCACAAAACTCGCCCCACACACCACCACACTCCCCAAAATGCTCCTTCACCCAACCCCAGCCCCTCCCTCCATCACCACTTCCCTCCTCCACCACCACCAATCCCCGCCTCCACCTCCACCCCACCTGCCCCCCACCACCACCCACCACACCACCACCACTTCCCCTACCCCTTCCACTCACACACACTCCCCTCCCCTCCACCTCCTCCACTCTACCACACCACACTCCCTCCCTCGACCACCAAGCCCCCTCCCCCTCCACCACCACACTCACTCCCCCCTTTCACCACCTCCACCAACCCCTCCCCTTCCATCACCAACCCTCCCCTCCACCCCAACCCTCCACATCACCACCACCAAACCCTCCTCCACTCCCACCTCGTCACCTGTGTCGCCGCCATCGGAAACAACGGACGGACGTTTTTAGAAAGAAAGAAAGAAAAGAAAGAAAGAAAGAAGAAAGAAAGAGAGAAAGAAAGAAAAACTTCGCAATGGCAACGCTCAGACCGGAAGTGGAGGGGGGAGGGGGGGGGGGTTGCGTTGCATTCGCGGGGATTTTGCGATGTTGAATGATTGGAATGATAGATTGCACAAGGAGGAGAAGGAGAGTGACGATAAAGGAGAAGGAGAGGGAGAATATTGATAATGATTGATAAAGATAAAGATGATGATAGTAATAATAACAATGATGATGATAATAATAAAGAATAATGAGAGAAATAATAAGAATAATGATAATGATATTAGTGTTAATTATAATGATGATGATAATGATTATAATAACAATAATAATGAGAATATTTATTATTATTGATTAGTATTATTGTTATTATTATTAATGTTCTTTTTATTGCTACCTTTGTTATTGTCCTTTCTTGTTATTATTATTGTTAGTGATATAATACTGTTATGTTGATGCTATTATTGTTGTTGACATTGTTAGTGTTGTGCTTATTTATATTTCACTATTACTATTGTCTATTACTATTATCTATTTATCCGTCTTATCTGGTCATTTTTTTCTTATCTATGTTGTGAAGGCTTTATCCAAGGACCATACAACAAACATATGAAATATAACATAACAAATATATGATATAACAAATATATAGCATAACAAATAAACATATAACATAACAAATGTATAACATATAGCATATAACATAAACGTATAACATATAGTATAATAAATGTATAACATATAGCTTATAACATAGATCAATAACATATAACATTAACATATAACGTATAACATGACACACATATAACAAACTTCTTCGGCTTTATCCATTTTGTATGACTGTCATTAAGAGTTTTATTATTATTTTTTGCTTTCGATTCGTTTTATCGGATGAATTTTTTTCTTTTGCGGTTAAAAAATATCCAATTTATGACTCTTATTCCATATTTTTTGATCGTTTGTTATTTTTTTTCGATCGTTTGTTATATTTTTTCGATCGTTTGTTATATTTTTTTCGATCGTTTGTTATATTTTTTTCGATCGTCTATTTTCGATCTATTTTTAGACGCGATTTAAACGCACTGCATTGCACAGCGGATCACTGACCACAGTTATATTTGGAAACCACGGCGCGGATTGGGTCACCAGCGGTTGACCTGCGGGGTTGAGTGACACTTGACCTCGTCTGTC